ACACGGTGGCAAGGTCACAAGCCAACATGTGGCAGAGCCGAGCCCCCATCCCAAGTCCGCTTCATATGGAGCCTATAGCCCTAGCTGCACCTTCAAGTCCTCGTCATTAGAACCACCATGGTCACACAGTGAGGCCAGGAAAGAATTCACGTGAATTCCTCGGCCATCCCTTCCACTGACACTGGGCTCTATCTCCCCGGACCCTGAAATCTCAGGAGGGGTGCTGGGGGCTACACGCTGCTCTGACCGAACACTGGAGGTGCCCGCAGGTCTTTGGGGCAGGCAGATTCTGCCTCCAGTCTCCTGGTCGTTCATCGGTGAGTCTCAAGCTGCCACGTAAGAAGCTGGTCTCCCCTGAGGAGGGGCCCCATGGAGACGCCCGAGTCCAGCGGAGCCAACCCAGCAGACGCACCAGCCTCCGGGTCAGCCAAGCGCCAGTGACTGACGCAGACAGTGCACCAGGAGCGGCCCAGCTGGGACCCCCGGCGCCAAGCCCCACAAGATGGGACTGTATCGGCACTAAGGGGGTGGGGCTTAGGGGCACCCCCAACCTGGATGTGCGTGGTGCTCCGAAGCGACTTGCCCTAAACCATGGCCGGGAGTGTGACGAGGGGCCGGGAGCAGCGAGGGGCGCTCCCCGGAAGGGATGTGAGGAAAGGTGAACGTGCTACAAAATGGCGCTGAACACGGCGACCCTACCGGGGTGACCGCGGCTGCACAGGGGCCGTCTGCACTGAGAGGTGGAGGGGCCACGTGACAGCACAGACTGGTGGCATGGGAATGGGCTCCCCTGCCCGGGTGACCCCAGGCCATGGCGCATGGAGCTCTAAGGCAGGACCAGGCGTGTTCCTAGGCCATAAGCGCCTGACCCTCTGCTGTGAGGCCCGAGCCACCACACAGCCTGTCCTGAGAAGCGCTGGGACCTGGGCCCTCGGGTGGCGCCTGTGAGGGTCCCGTCTCCCTGTCACGTAGTCAGCGGCACGCTGGTTCACCCAGTCTCACACGCACCTGGTAACAGTGCCTCAGTAACCTAACTCTGATCAACTTCGGGAGCCCTGAGAATACTTCTGATCCTAAGAGCTGAGTGGCAGATCGGGGAGGCTGTGATCCACCCTGCCGTCAAGTCAGCCCCCCCCACCGTCATCGCTGTCCCCTCAGGGCACTGAAGCTCTGCAGTTCTGAGGTTCCTACCGAGGCTCCTTCGGTCATGTTTTATCAACCCTGTCAAACGTATTTCCTTCTTCGAGACAACAGCCCTGTGCTTTGCATGAGACAGTAGAGAGCAATGTGAGCTGCCCACGTGCCGACACATCCAGGTGGCTGTGTGCAAAGCAGCGGGAGGGCGCCCGGCGGGGGGGTGGCGGCAGGGGCTCACCAGCGCAGGTAGCAGTACATGGCCTCCACACTGTAGT